GGAGGAAGTCGGATAGATTGTAGAAAAGTGTGTCGTCTGAACTTGTCAGAATCGTACGGGAAGCTTTAGATGACGTCACGGTCGTCGAACGTGACGTCACTATCATCGATCGATATTCGCTCTAAACTCAGGCTTCTATGTAAAATCAAAAGAATATTGGAAGACGGAGGGGTCAATTTCAGTTTGAGGGGTCAATGGCCCCTTTAGGATTATCCCTGGAAGCATAAACGAAAATATCTATTTTTTTTCCACGAAAACGAAAGTTTAGATATTTCTATTTATAAGCATATTGCATGTATAAGTATTCATCTTTTTTGTAAGACATCTATCAGGTCTTGTAAAGGGTTGTTTCAAAGATTCCATACTGTAAATGCACTGGTCATAGCCGAAGATAGCTCCTTGCAAGCTGTTAGACAACCCTGTCAATTGTCGGTAAAAACTTGTAGCTGAAGTTACTTAACAATTTCTAGCTATTCTTTAGCTTTAAAACAGTTACGATTCAAGAAATAATTAGAATTGTCATGAAATACGTTTTAAAGTAAAAAAAATACCTGGTAATCGTTGCTATTCGTAGACTAAACCGTCCTTCAAAGCCTGATGTCGTGTAAACTATCCGTTAGTGTGACGTCATAACCGAGTATAAGAGTTACTTCCCTTCTACCGTAAATGATTTTGGTCTATTTTTTTCATTTTCTTACAATAAAAACATTACAGAGAAAAAAACATTAAAAAGTGTTATTTTTCTTTACAAGTTAATTATTTTATCTGATGATATGAATTAAATGATGAATTTATCGATATTTTAACGTAAAAATTGACATTTTTCAACCTTTGTCGACTATTTGACCTTATTTGTCCGTTACTTGTACACTATTTGTCTATATTTGTCCTGTCCATATTTGTCCACTATTTGTCCACTACTTGTACACTATTTGTCCATTACTTGTACACTATTTGTCCATATTTGTCCACATTTGATCAATGGAAACCCGATTTTCACGTATCACTGAGCAATGTCTACATGCTGATACCGGATGTGTCGTTGCTCAGTGTAGTGTATAAACACCTGTGTAGACTCACCAGTAACAAAAGCATTTGGTATTTACTAACTGTAAGTGTTTAATTTTGAAATTAATGTTAGCAAAATCAGTCAATTCAAACGTAGGAAATAATTTATGAAATTTGTTGATGTACATAGGGTCGTTCAATCTGTTACTCAAGTCTTTGCTAAATAATAACAGTACTTTAAATTTGTAATATGTAATTTTGTTATCACAGAGTAAATTTAAGTAATCAAGTTCACTGTTAACATTTAATATCATGTGGTTCCAATATGGATTTGCACGCACTGTCCTACGAAAACACCAGTTCCTGTTCATGTAGCGTTTGATCAAATGTCTCCACATGTTCAAAACCTCTTCAAAAGGGTGGCCAGCTGATCGTATTCCCAGAAAGTTATGCATATACCGTGTTTGCTCGGTACATAATTGTCACTGTAGCTACTGCCGTGAAACTTCCTAATGTCTACACACGTGTAGGGGTTATGTACCGTAACGTAAATGGTGTCTCCAAGGTGACTAAAAAAGTTTACATCTTTTCCCTCGGTGAAACTTTGTATGGCCTCGCGTATGATGCTGTACAATGATTATATGCGTAATATAGCATCAGGTGCGAGATTCATTGAAGTAAATTCCTTAATCAGAGCAGCAGTGTGAGGAATAAGTAAAACTTTACGAAAACAGTCTTTTCCCAGCCTGTAGACTTGTACGGACTCGCACAGTGTGGGTAGTCCCCTTTGTTTAGTAGGTAATTTTGGTTTTGATGGTCTTTGGATTCCTATAGAGGTGTGTCAGTTTCAGTACTCACGCTGTTGTCTATCATTTGGCTGTCGCCTTCTCCTTCTTGTTCGACGTTTCCATCTTGATCTACCTCTCCTTCTTCGATTTCATCAGAAAATAACTGTTGTGTCGGTTGACTGAGCTGAGTCGAAACTGGAATTATTGTATCTGTTGTTATTTCGGAAAATTCAGGAATTTCTTGTGTTAACGCAGCTCATTCCTCTACGGGCGTTTAAAATTGTAGCGGTGTGTTCGTTGTGGGTTCTAAAGATATAAACATATCGGTATTCCCGTAAAATAAAAAAATAAATTGAAAATAAAAAAATAGTATCATCATATAAATAAGTTTTTGGACAATCGTTGCAATTTTCCATGTTGACAAAAATGTGTACTCTCTTCAGAAAAGACAAAGCTTACATTACTAAATGAACACAAAGCAGTGAGGGTCTCTCTTTTTATAAGGACTTTTCTACCCTCATAAATCCGAATGGTTGTTACTTTATTTCCTTAAATCTTATCTAAATCTGATTGGCTGAATTCTGATTGGTTGAAACTTTTACTTTCTTAAATCTGATTGGTTGTATTCTGATTGCCTGACACTTTTACTTCCTTAAATCTGATTGGTTGAATTCTGATTGGCTGACACTGTTACTTCCTTAAATCTGATTGGTTGAATTCTGATTGGCTGACACTTTTATTTCCTTAAATCTGATTGGTTGAATTCTGATTGTTTATAGAATTACTTACAATTTAGGTCTAGAATTTCACATGCTACGAGATACACTTTTACGGATTCACGTTTCGGTAAATCAATCCCCCTTTTTAGTACACGTTTACAGTCAGTTACGCATAAATTTCTACTACGGAATCGTCGCTCTGAAGCCGAGTGTTTTACTAATGCTTCGCCTGTAAATTGTATGTATATTGACCAGCTGTAAGTTATATGTTCTCCACATTACGTAGTTTCATGTTGTTCATTGGCTTCAGCTTCGGTGCCGGTATTACAAACCCCAGACTCTATCGTGCATCGTGCGATTACAATCGTGCGTCAGGCAGAATAGAGAAGCAGATATTACGATCAGTACCGTTGTTTTCGTTTGTGCGGTACGCGTAGTTCTTAGGTCCGGCAGAACCGAATTCAACTGTGTTCACCATTGCGTAGCTTGAGATGAAATCAAGGTCGTCGAACGTGATGTCACTATCATCGGTGTGTGTATTTCTGTGACGTCATCAAATTTAGTGTTACAGACTGAATTATCTCTCCCTGTTTCCAATAGATGTTTATATTGCGTGTGACGTCATTCTGACAGAATGTTCTTTATGTCAGTCCTTCTATCTATGTCCATATGTCAGTCCTTTCGTCCATGTCCATATGTCAGTCCTTCCATCCATGTCTATATGTCAGTCTTTCTATTTATGATCATATGTCAGTCCTTCCATCTATGTCCATGTCAGCCCTTCCATCCAAGTACTTTAATTCTGACTCTTCTGTCGCGAAACATAATTTCGTAGGTAATGCGAAATCGATGACGTCATACGCAATACACAAACTAAAACCCTCCTCCACATCATTTCATACATGTTTGTGTTTCGCGTGTGACGTCATCAATTTCTTATTACCTACGAAATTATGTTATGTTATGAGTCCGTACAAGTCTTCAGGCTGGGAAAAGACTGTTTTTGTAAAGTTTTCCTTATAGCTCACACTGCTGCTCTGATAAAGGAATTTGCTTCTATGAATCTCACACCTGCTGCTATAATACGCATAAATTCACTTGACAGCAACATACGCGAGGCCATACAAAGTTTCACCGAGGGAAAAGATATAAACTTGTTTAGTCACCTTGGAGATAACATTTACGTTACGGTACATAACCCCTACACGTGTGTAGACATTAGGAAGTTTCACGGCAGTAGCTACAGTGACAATGATGTACCGAGCAAACACGGTATCAGCTGGCCACCCTTTTGAAGAGGTTTTGAACATGTGGAGACATTTGATCAAACGCTACAGGAACTGGTGTTTTCGTAGGTGTTTTGTGTGCAAATCCATATTGGAACCACTTGATATTAAATGTTAACAATGAACTTGATTACTTAAATTTAGTGTTTCAAATGTTCTGTGATAACAAAATTACATATTACAGAGTTGAAGTACTGTTATTATTTAGCAAAGGCTTGAGTAACAGATTGAACGACCCTATGTACATCAACAAATTTCAAAAATTATTTCCTACGTTTGAATTGACTGATTTTGCTAACATTAATTTCAAAATAAACACTTATAGTTAGTAGATATCAAAAGCTTTTGTTACTGGTTAATCTATACAGGTGTTTACACACTACACTGAGCAACGACACATCCCATATCAGCTAAAGATGTAGACATTGCTCAGTGATACGTGAAAATCGGGTTTCCATTGGACAAATGAGGACAAATAGTGTACAAGTAGTGGACAAATAGTGTACAAGACTGAAGTAGTGGACAAATAGTGTACAAGTAGTGTACAAATAGTGGACAAATATGGACAGGACAAATATGGACAAGTAGTGTACAAGTAACGGACAAATATGGTCAAATAGTCGACAAAGATTGACAAATGTCTTTTTTTTACATTAAAATATCGATAAATTAATCATTTAATTCATTTCATACGATAAAATACTTAACTTGTAAGGAAAAATAACACTTTTTAATAAAAAAAATTCTCTGTAATGTTTTTATTGTATGGAAAAAAAAGACCAAAATCATTTACGGTAGAAGGGAAGTAACTCTTATACTCGGTTATGGCGTCACACTTGGTTATGACGTCACACTAACGGATAGTTGACACGACACCATGCTTTGAAGGACGGTTCAGTCTACGAATAGCAACGATTATCAGGTATATTCCTTACTTTAAAACGTATTTCATGACAATTCTAATTATTTCTTAAATCGTATTGTAACAGGATTCTATAGGTAGGATTGAATTGTATTCTATGTTCATATCGAGGACGATATTCTTTGGTCAGGAGGAGAATGTGGCAGGATTGAATTTTATCAAATTTAGTTTAATGTTGTATAATAATTGTTGTATGATAATATGTCCGGTATAGAGGTCAGTAGTGTGACGTCAGTATACATCTATTATCTGATTGGCTATTGGGTTGGCGCACGATACCTTTGTATGACTAGGTAGACGAGAGAGCGACGACAACGACAACTGACAAGAATATAAGTGAGGTATAAACTCGATTTCTCGATTTACAAACTAACCTGTCGATCTTTTCTATTTGTCCTTTCTCCTGTCCGGCGTGCGGTATTTCCCGCGAGCAGTATCTGATATTATTTATACGGTATTTTATATTATTTTAAATAAAACATGAATGTGTGCGTACGCTGGGTTTACCTGAGTGACCGCATTACACCGGCTATCACGATTGTGTTTATATTCCATATCTTATTATTTGTATCGTTTATGTTTCCAGACTTGAATATGTGTACAGACTAATACATGAGCTGGACATATTGTAAAGCCTTCTGCCACACAGAGGTGATTATTTCATTATAAGTCATAATAATCCCAATATATATATATATCCTTTTGAATGTCCCGTCATAGTGTACGTCCGTGAATAGTTTTCACCATTTATGAGTAACGTCAACAGTAAATGCCAAAAGGCCATACACTTATAATATAATATATGTGTAAAGGTAAATTGTAATCCATATTGTAACTAATAGATAAGGAAATAGTATATGCCCTATTTCCAATTCTTTATTTGTTATTATATAATCCCCTGTTAAACGTACGTATTTTACAGCTAAGTGTTAATTGTCAGATTGTACTCGTTTCTGTAATATATGTATCGATAGCGTTATGTGTATGCGTAGTAAAGTATTGTATGTTTGTATCGTTGCAGGGTAAGATTTACCTACAATAAAACCACTGGTTCGTTATCAAAACGTCGAGCTTGGGTTGTTTATTTACCCCCAAATACCCCTCGGTTTCAGTTTTGTTTTAAAGCTATCGAATAGCTAGAAATTGTTAAGTTACTTCAGCTACAAGTTTTTACCGACAATTGACAGGGTTGTCTAACAGCTTGCAAAGATCTATCTTCGGCTATGACCAGTGCATTTACAGTATGGAATCCTTGAAACAACCCTTTACAAGACATGAAAGATGTCTTACAAAAAAATGAATACTTATACATGCGATATGCTTATAAATAGAAATATCTAAACCTTCGTTTTCGTGGAAAAAAATAGATATTTTCGTTTATGCTTCCAGGGATAATCCCTGAGCGGCAATTGCGACTCAAAACTGAAATTGACCCCTCCGTCTTCCAATATTCTTTTGATTTTACATAGAAGCCTGAGTTAAGAGCGGATATCGATCGATGATAGTGACGTCACGTTCGACGACCGCGACGTCATCTAAAGCTTCCCGTACGATTCTGACAAGTTCAGACGACACACTTTTTTCTACAGTCTATCCGACTTCGTCCACCAACACCAATTAATACAACGGCAAGCAGACATATTCAGGCAGGAACGACAAAACATATCAAACGACAAAGAGCCTATTAGGAAACAACATCGCCAAAGAATGCATAGACAACGACGTGCAAGCGGCCAGTATTCAGTATTCGTTGTATTCCATCTATATGTTCATATGTCAGTCCCTCCATCTATGTCCAAATGTCAGTCCTTCCATCTATGTCCATATGTCAGTCTTTTCATTTATGTCCATGTGTCTGTCCTTCCATCTATGTCCATGTCAGTCCTTCCATCCATGTTCATGTCAGTTCTTCCATCTATGTCCATATGTCAGTCCTTCCATCCATGTCCATAAGTCAGTCCTTCCATCTATGTCCATACTTCAGTCCTTCCATCCATGTCAATATGTCAGTCCTTCCATCTACGTCCAGTCCAGTCCCTCCATCTATGTCTTTATATCAGTCCTTCCTATTTCTTTCAGTTCAAACCACGCAACAGTATACAATTGTTTCATGGCTATTTGGGGAACAGTCAAAACTATCATCCCGAGGTAGGGGGAAGCCCTGGGGAACTGTTTGCCCGAGGCCGCTAGGCCAAGGGCAAACAGTTCCACAGCGCTTCCCCCTACCGAGGGATGATAGTTTTGACTGTTCCCAAAATAACCATGAAACAATTGTTTTATTACCAAATAAATATTAGTATCAATGCTGCATGCAATGTTGCCATTGCTTCCACACTGAGTCGCGGTCACCGAAACGCTTGAACGGGGCTCTCGAGGGGGGATTTCTGCGCATCAAATTCGCGCCGGGTAACAGTTCACTCTGACCGGGAAAACAGTTTTGACTGTTTCACCCCTACAGGCGAAATTGGACAAAAGGCCAGAAACAGTCAAAAATGACTAATTATGATTTATATAGACTATTGGGTAATAATACTACCTGTTAGCATTGATGAGCGAGGAAGATCAACATTATTTTTTATTTGAGAAAAGGCATTCATATTTTTTTAATACGCTTGCATATTTAACAAACACCTTGTAAATAAAGAAAAGAATTATAATATTAAATAAAGAAAAGAATTATAATATATTGTAAAAAAAGAAGAAAAAACCCACATCGGCGTGCACTTGAAGGGGTTTCGTATTGTCGAGAACAGAGCCCCTCATTTTCACGTCGACATGTTTGCAAACTAGCATCCAGAAGAAAAGAACAACCAGAAGAACCGAGAGTGTGTCAACTTTTATTTGTATTGAGGAAGTGTACACTGAAATGCAATTACCGGGGCTCGGTAGAACATAGGGACATGTGTTGGGGTGACGTAACTCTGAGAAAAAATGGGGATGGGCACAAATTTCTGGAATTTCCTGAACGCCAAACAAAAACAAGAACCGGAGAAAATCCTCACGATATTAGAGCTGTTAAACCGAAACTGTGGGCAAATTTGGAAAACCCTGACAGGTGCCCTGTGACAATTTATAAACTTTACCGTGAAAAACGGCCGACTGGCTACTTTGCCCCGTCTGATCCTTTTTACGCAGAAACCAAACAAATATCATCACCTAATATTCCAATTTGGTTCAAGAAACAGCCAGTAGGAGTCAATAAATTGTGCACCATGATGCAAAGAATTATCAAGTTGTCGGGAATCGAAACTGAAAAACATCTGTCAAATCACAGTGCTCGGAAAAAATCTCGTTCAAAAATCAGTGACAGTAATGTCTCCCTCCCGAATTATGCAAATTTCAGGACACAAGAATATTTCATCAATAAACAACAATAACCATATCAACGCAGATCAACACAAGCAGATTTCACGGATCCTGAGCTCCGGAAAATTCGTTCTCTCACCTGCCAACATGTCAACGCAGTTAATATATATATGATAGACGGCCCCTTCTCTAACCTATCCCCCTCCTCTACTCTTTTACTCCATACTTTATCCCTTCTACTCTTATCCTTTCTGTTCTTCGTCTGCTGGATAACCGAGCCACTCGGTAGTGCAGCGGACGTAAAACCTATCAATCAATTAATCAATCGCATAGGAGGGCAGTAAAGCTACTTAAAGGACGTATTTCATGTGTTCCCGTATGTGTGCTGCAGTAGCTGCGACAGCCTGTAGCTATCCGCATCTAAGGAGCTGACCGACCTTAGGGCGTGACCTGGACGGACAAGGTCATTTTGAATCTCCGAGGGCCTGGTAAGCTGGAGTCTTACCCCCTCAAGACGAACGAACACGGGCTTCGCCAGTGAAGTGAAGTCTATAAACCCATCAACCAACCAACCAACCAACCAGCATAGTTGTGTTTGATTTTTTTTTCAAATAATGATTGTTATGTGATAAATAGAATCTTACACTCGTGTCCATGTCATATTGAATTTATTTAACTCGTTCAATAATTTGAATCGTACACAACTTTTAACCACTTGACCTCTGACCTGACGCTTTTGATGGCGGACGGGTAACTGTCAAAACGTCTATATGACATGGACACTCATGTAAGATCCTCTATTTATATGTTATTACTAAAAATTTTAGCCGATAACGTTAATATCTGAAGTTAAACACCAGTGACAACTGTCTAGATTCATTAATACATACCTTACAAAGGCTACAAAATTACTTTTTTGTTAGGTTTAGTTGCATATTGGAGTGTCACAGCGTCCAGAAGTTGACAACCGGAAGTTTACAAGCAAAACGGTGACCTAAAACAGAAACCCCCCAGACATTTTGCCGCTGTGCGAATCCGCACACAGACTATGGAAATAATTCAAAAGGATACATTTTTCAAAAGTTAAATACCTGAACATTTTATTTATCTTCAAATCTTTCACCAGTTCTTTATTAAGCTTCCTCTGTGGCCCAGTAATTAGCCGGAACAGATTTTAGATGGGAACTACAAACTTATGAAACACATACTGATTGGCTGATTAAGTTGTGTGAGTCCTTTAAAGAACATTTTTTTTGAAATATTAAGATAAAGTTATTTCTGAAAGTATATTCAACACCTAGTAAAATTGTGAAGTTTGGTTGGTATACATCTATTGGTTATGGAGATATGGCGAGTTATGTCCCCTGGTGTCCCAATGCTTTTTATGTAGCCAGAAGCAGGAAAATTTTAATTTAGGTACAGGTAATTGACCTGTCATACATCAACTAATTTATCCTTATAGACCTCCATATTTTGCATGTTTATAAAACACACCTTTACCCCATGGACTGTTGTCTTCAAATTGAAATAAACCAGCTACTGTGTTTTACACAGAATTTCAACTAATTGATTTGTTTATTTAATAAATTTTGTTAAAAAAATGCATGCTGACAATTGTAACTTTCTAACAGGACCTTGTTCATAAATGGCTATTTAATATATACTTAAACTGATAAGCTGCTACTAAGACAAGCTTAGTGACAGGCACTCAAACCCCCCTGGGGAGCCACCGCACCACTGGGAGAGCTATGGGGGAAGGGGAAAGATAATGTCATATACTGTCAATATTTTTGTGTAAACAATCAACACATTGCTTCATCAGCACAGATGTATATCTAATAGTATATACTAACAAAACATCTAAACCCCAAACATTCATTTCAAAAATTGGGAGAACGCAGGTTAAAATTTTCAAAACAAATGGATTTCAGAAAGGGAATGTTCGACACAAAAAGGGAAAGACACAGACACCTGTTTTCGCACCATTGCCAGAACCAATCAACAGGTTA